GTATGGTCCCCAAACAGAACAAAACTCCACCTTTTTCTCCTTTTATATTCCTACTATTTTGTTGCTGACAAATTCATTTTTAAAATTTTTTTATTTTTAAAAAGTTGTTCATTACAGTTCATTCATTAAGATTCAAATACCAATCCCACCACAGTGCACCTTCCCACTAACATAAGAGGAAAGTGTGTGAAGATTGTGTAGTTCATCCTGGGGCCATTAAAGCCCTTGTAGAAGAGATTCCAAGCATGTATATTAAACCCAAACAAATGTGTACTACTTTTGATACATCGGTGGGCGAGAGTATGAGAGGTTCACGATGTTGTGTGTTGCTGTCCTCTGGGAGCTTTATTTCATGGTCTCTGAGTCTTGGCCGTTCGTTGGTGAGATTATGTGGCACCAGGGGCAGGTTGTGGGTGTCTGCCAAACTACTGGAAAACTGGGGAGCTGGGGGGAGGAGGCCCAGTCCCGACCCGAGCAGACTTGGAGATCTCAGTCACGGGTCCTGCATACCTGGGTTTTTCTGCAGGTTCCCTCGTAGGTGAGGCTCGTCCGAGCCTGTGGAGAGTGGCCTTGGGCTCTGAAGGTTTTTGGCTGCTGGGGTTCTGCTGGGGTGGGGAGGGAAACTAAACCCGCCCACCCCCTGAGTTGCCCCAGTGAAGACAGCCTGGCACAGGGTCAGAATGTTCTGTGTTGCCAAACTCTTTTAAAATGTACTAACAAAATTTATCACTGGAAAAGCGTAGGTAAACATAGTAAGATGCTAAAACTGCACCCAAGGATACATATTTAAATAATATATATTGAAAAAAACTTCTAGATGCTTCCCTTCCCCGGGACCTCTGCTCACAAGGTTCTGCTGTGTCATTATAGAAATCAAGATCTTTGTTTGAAAGAAAACACAAGAGCACATTGTTAAGAGTCTTCTACATTTTTTTGACAAGTGATAATCTTGATTTCAGTCAAGATCAACAAACAAATCTATCTATCTTATGCTTATGAACAGATGAACATTTTCTGACTGAAAAGGCATGTTACCACTTATCAATAGCCAGTAACCGATAGGGGGACATTGTGTGTTTCCCCGTGTCTTGTCCCTATATAAAACCTTCTGTTATTGTTGGACTGAATTATGTCTTCCCAAATTCTTATTTGGAAAACCAGTACTCTCAGAATGTGGGTGTATTTTGGAGATTAGGCCTTTTTAGGTTTTTATTTTTTAAATCATTATGAGATAGAGCATTGCAAAATTGTTCACGACTGCGTTTCAGTCATACAATGTTCCGACACCCACCCGTCCACCAGTGTCATTTCCCAGCACCAGTGTCCCCAGTTTCCCTCCCACCCCTTCCCCACCGCCGCAGCCCGCCTCTATAGCAGGCACCTCTTCTCTCTCTCTCTCTCTCTCTCTCTCTCTCTCATTTTAGGCATTACAGTTTGCAGTACAGATGCTGAAAGTTATCAGGTCTCTCCCCTTACCTGCTTTCAACACTCAGTTCTTGTCCAGAGTGATCATTTCCAACTAGTCTTGCCATAATGGACCCTCCTCTATCTTAACTTCCCTCCACCTTCCACACCACTGACCAGCCACTGACCAGTCCTACCGTGGCGCTGTAGCACTGTCCTCCCATTGTTCACCAATTTGCTCAAGCGGGCATCAGTAACTTCTCCATTGTGAAACTTGTTACTGTGTTTGGAGATGCTTTGAAGATGGACCTTTCCAGGGATGATTCAGTTAAAATGAAGTGGTGAGAGCAGGAAGGCCAGGTGAGATCACTGCAAGTCACAGGGAGAAGCGGGCCACAGAAGAAACCAAAACTACTGACATCTTTGTCAGGCTCCAGAACCAGGAGACAAATAGCTCTTGTTCAACCACCCAGGCTGTGGTGTTCTATCCTGGCAGCTTTACCAAGTCAACGCACACAGCAACTCATCTGTCATCATGTAGTAAAATCAATGAAGAAATAGCCTTCATGATAAGGCTGAACACACACACACACACAAAAGGATTTTGGGCAAACTGTTGGTCTCAATATGTACCATTTTCTGCGGTCCATTCACATAGAAAGTATCCTAAAGGTTGCACTGTCGCACTGTCCTCCCGTTGTTCATCGATGTGCTCGAGCGGGCACCAGTAACGTCTCACAACAAATTGTGAGACTTGTTTTATTGTTTTTGGCATATCGAATACATCACAGGGAGCTTGCCAGGCTTTGCCGTGGGGGCAAGATACTCTTGGTAGCTTGCTGGGCTCTCTGAAAGGGGCCGAGGAATCGAACCCGGGTCAGCCATGTTGGCCTCATGTAAGGCAAATGCCAAATCCGCTGTGCTATCGCTCCAGCCCTAAAGGAAAAAAAAACTAAGTCGTCTTGGCACTCATTTTAAGCCAGTGCTCTTGTCTTTCACTCGCCATTCTCTCTGTTAAAATGCTCACTCTTTCCTCTGTCTGGATGCAGAGATTGTAGGTTGGTTGTTTTGACAGTGAAATCAACTCTGGTAGTGACACAGCCCTGGGAATCCGACTGTTTTGCAACAGCAACTCTTTTTTTCATTGCTGTTTTCACAATTAACCCATTTATGGGAGAAAGTGCTGTGTCATGAACTGGGAAAAAAAAAAGCAGTTGCCTTAGAGTGGCCTTCCCCTGACCAGCAACCCTCTCCAGGGCCCTCAAAACCAGGACTGCAAAACACTAGCGGAAGAGGCCAGGTGTCATCATATTTTTAGATCAGGAAATGATTTGGCATCAACCCCATGCCCCCAGCATGCAGGTGTCCAGAGTGAAAGCGAGCAGGAAAGAAAAAACTGCCAGTTCACCAGGCTTCACACGGAGGATTTTCACCACCCTGTCAGATGTCTTATCCAGACTCTCTGTGGTGGCCAATAGCTGCGTGGTCTGTTATAATTCCTTCACTGTCCTATCCTGGAGGAAATCAGAGGTGATTAAAGCAATCACCTTGGCCATAATAATGTTGCTGTTCTGCTGTATTTGCAGTAACCTACAGGAACTATACTTCAGGGATCTAAGTCTTCGTGTAGGGCTAAAGTTTACTGTAGATCAATCATTTATTTTGGACCAGATGATTAACTGCTCTAGAACTCAGCATTTGGAGCTCACGCGAACAGCTTCTTTCAAAAAGAATAATGGCCCACAGGCCTTTTTCTCCCCGAGCTCTTCATTTCATTTTGTCATCTTAAACAAATTCCCTGACGTGATCGGGGTGCAGTGACTGCGAGGGCCTTTCGGTGAACTTCAGCCTCTGAAACTGGGTGAGTGCGCAGGGTCCTCATTGTTCCACACTCTCTCAGGCTCATCTGGTGGCTCAAGAGTGAACAACACAGAAACAGGTGCAGGGGTAAGAGAACCCCACCTGTGCGTCAAAAGGTAGTTTAGAATGAGGAAACGATGGAATGCCATGGGCATCCTTCCTCTTTCATCCCTAATTTTGGGGGCGGGAGGTGGGGGTGAGGGGGTTCACACCAGAGGTACCTGGAGGTTACTCCTGACTCTATGCTCAGGGACCAATTCTGGCAGTTCTCAGGGAACCATATGGGATACTAGGGATCGAACCCTGGTCAAGTGCGTGCAAGGCATGCTGGAATGTTCTTTCTTTCTTTCTTTCTTTCTCTCTTTCTCTCTCTCTCTTTCTTTCCTTTCTTTTTTCCTTCCTTCCCTCCTTCCTCCCTCCCTCCCTCCCTCCTTCCTTCTATGCACTAAGTAGGTTCTAATAACTATGATAGGCATTGTCCTAAGGGTAACAGAAAGACACTTATTTTCCTACCCAGAGGGTTTGCCTGAGGTCCAAGCCTACATTCCTGGGATAGTAGATCAGAACGAATTCAAGTACTAGAGCAGGAAACTGGGAGAGAGAGTCCATGAGCTGGAGCATGAGGCTTGCTGGTGTGGAGGCCTCGGGGTCACTGCCCAGCATGGCCTGACCCCAAACCAAAATGCTTCCCAGGTTGGGGAGGAACGTGATTGGTTCTGGCCTCGGGGAGTTTGTGGCCAGTACAACCCCGGTCACCGACTCCCACCCCTCAAGTGTCCTGGGCAGCCAGCAGAGGGCTGAGGAGGGTGCCCCAAGCCCCCTAACGGCTCCCAGTGTGTTGGGGGGCCCCGATGGCGGTTCCCAAGTGACCCCCAGGAAAGAGCCAGGCCAACCTCTCTGTGCCTCTACTGAAAAAGCCGGGCGGGCAGTGCGCGACCCTCCTGTGCCCAGACCCGCTCTGTCCCACCCTAAAGCCTTGGGGCTGGGCACTGTCACCCTGTGGCACCCGGGTGCCTGACTCCTGCTGCGCTGTGGGTTCCTCCTCTGAATGCCACGTGACGCGTGGGGCCTCGGAGCCCCCCAGTGCAAGGACCTGACCCCAGGGTGGCACGAAGGGAGGGCAGGGGGCTGGAGGGGGGAGGTGAGGGCTGTTGGCGAGGGCCGAGGCATGCAGGGCATGTCACCCCGGCCCCGGAGCACCCCGGGACCCAGACCCCTCTTGGGTCACGGTGCTCAGCTCTCACTCTGGTCACGGTGCTTGGCCACATTGCTCAGGTCTCCGGCCACAGTGCTCGGCTCTCTGATCACAGTGCTCAGCCCCGCACTCCAGTCACAGTGCCCGGCTCTCTGGCTACAGTGCTCGGCTCTCACTCCGGCCACGGTGCTGGGCGGCGTGGGCCGCAACGCCTGACTCGCCGGGAGCGCCCCGAAAACAAACCCTTCCCGGCGATGCGTGTCTCTCGTGTTCTCCCACGCGAGAAAGGCCTCGGCTTCTGGCCGCCCCCCGGCCCCCGCCGGCCGCACCAAAGGGCCGCGGGAGGCGGCGGGCGGCGGCTGCGGGGCGCCGCGGGCTCCCGCCGCGCGCCGGGTCACGTGGGCCGCGCTCCCCCACGGCGGCGGCGGCGGCGGCGGCGGCGGCGGCCCGCGCGTGCCCGCCCGCCCGGCCTCGCGGGCGCGCGCGCCGACGGGGCGGGCGCATGCGCAGGGGGCGCGCCGCCTCTGCCCGCGGCGAGGGTGTCTATGGCGAGGCGGCGGCGGGGCGGCCGGGGCCGCGGCGATGGCGCCCTTCCCCGAGGAGGTGGACGTGTTCACGGCGCCGCACTGGCGCATGAAGCAGCTGGTGGGGCGCTACTGCGACAAGGTAGCGGGCCGCGGGGCGCGGGGGCGCGGGGCCGCGGGGGCCGCCCGGGCCTGGGGCCTGCGCCGCGCGCCGGAGCCGCCGCCGCCCGCGCAGCTGTCAGCGCCGCCCGGCCCGGCCCGGCTCGGTTCGGCTCGGTTCGGCCCGGCCCGGCCCGGCCCGCCTAAGCCGGAGGGCCCCCGAGTGCGTGTGCGAGCCCCCCCCCCCCCCCGCGCGTCTCTTCAGGCCGGGCCCCGGGGAGGAGCCCGGGTTCGCGGGGGGCGGCGGGCGAGGCCCCGAGCGCGACCCCGAGCGCGACCCCGGGCGAGGCCCCGGGCCTTTCCCGCTCGGCCACTTCTGGCCCCAGCATCCCCGGCCGCTCGCGCGCCGCCGCCCGCCAACTTGCCGGGCCCCCTCCCTCCCTGCAGGGGTGCGGCGGCGGGGCCGCGGGGGCACCTGGGCAGGGACGGGGGCCTCTGGCTGCAGGCGTGACTCGACTGCGCCGCCCAGGACGCCGTGGAAGTCGGTCGCTGGGGGCGGGAAGCCCACCTCTGCGGAGACCGCCCCGCGGCAGCCCACCCTGGGCCCCGAGAAACGCCTCTTGGCCCGGGCGAGCAGGAGCGCAGCAAGCAACTTGGAAGCCCCCCCCCCCCCCCAACTCCGGCAGCGTGCAGCGGACCGGGCTTGAGAGGCCCCCTGGGGGTGCTGGGGGCTGCCAGGTGTCAGGTGTTCAGGGCTGACCCCGCCCCCCCTTCGCTCCTGCACGTGCCTCCTCGAAGACCCCCAGGTTCCCTTGCCAGTTCCGGGGCCCGCGCCGGCCGGGGCGGTGGTGCTCATCCTCCAGGGCGGTTCACACTCCCGGTGCCCCCAGAAACGAAAGCCCGGGCCTCTGAAGGCGGGACCCACACTTCCAAATGCTTGTTTTTCACGAAGCTCGGTGTATTACGGGTGGGGGAAGGAGGGAGCACTGCCGGACTGGAGGAGCAGGCGGTGCCAGGGGAGCCGCTAACTCCCTCACGCACCCCTGGAACCATCTCCAGGCGCCTTCGAGTCTTAAGTCGAAGGTCCCAGGTGAGCCCTGTGCACGCCGAGGGTGAGCGCCCCGTCGCCCGCAGGGCTGGGCATGGGACGGCCGGTACACCTGGGTGAGGACACGCCTTGCTGCGACCCTGAATTTGGAGGTTAGCTGTGCTGCGGCGCTGTTTTCGAACGCTTTGGCTTTTGAACTGGTAGGGAGACGGAATCCTTCATGCCGAAAGAACAGTGTCGGGAGGAATTACTTTTTGGTCATGTTTTCTTTTCAGTTGCACAGAATCAAGAAGGGAAAGTTGGTGATGGCTGATGGACTCTGATGTCCTCTTGCCAGTTTAGGCCAAGGCGAAGGGGGTGGGTACTGTGAAGCTGGCAGTTTCTGTGCCTCGCATGTCTTCCCGAGGCGGGTTGTGGCGCTCATCAGATTTCCAAATCATTATGAGCTGGTCTTCCAGAATAGTTAGGAATCTCAGTTTGAGTCCGGACTGGACTAGCCATTTACAGCAATTTTAAAAGTCATTCACTAGTTTTGTGTGTCAGTACCCGGTACTCAAACTGAAAACACAGTCTTATTTTTAATCGTGTGAATCGATTCTTTTTAATATTTAATACTTTTCTGCTTGTAATCACAAAAAGCAGCTTACTGTGTCATAGCACAAGTCAGAATAATCACTAATTCCAAAGTAATTAGCTGTACTTAATGAGACTGCTGTATATATTCATCAAGAAGATTAAAAGTTCAGTTTCCTGAACTGTGTCTCAAAGACCAAGGTGATTTAAGGATGAAAAGAAAAAAAAAGACCCATACCCTGCGTAGGAATTCTGCACCCAGATTTCTTTTCTGTACCAATAGCTGGTGGAAATCTCTCCTAGGAGTCCTTTGGGAGCGCGAGTGGAAAAGTATTTTGTGATGACTGCATATTCCCAAGGGACCATTTGTTTTTATTCATTGGTCACCTTAGATTTGTCCTCATCATTTGGTTTTATGGACCAAGCAGGTCCAACTCAAACTGCGTACAGAAAAGCTTTATGAAATGAGAATTTCGTTATTTCATGATATTTTAAGATTGACAGTGAATGCCCGGGAAGGAAGTCAGTTTTATTTCCAGTATTGAGCTCCGTAGGTACAGTATATTAATTTCTTTATCTTGGCGCCATACCCAGTGCTCAGAAGTGATCCCTCTCTGAGTTTGAGGGGCTGCTCCTTGCAGTGTTCTGGGGACCCTGTGGTGTGGGGGACTGGCCCTGGTCCTCCGCCTGTATGCAAAGGTAGACTCGGCTTCTTTGCACCTCATCACCCCATGACCCCCTCCCCCCTTTTCCTTAAGTATATTTTAAAAGCATCCCTTTATTTACTTGCATTAGTTTGACTACGCGCTTAGTCTGATTTCCTTAGAAGAACAAATTCTGCATATGTTCTAAAGTCGTAAGGCATTTAAAACAATGCTGCTTAATACCTAATTTGTACTCTGTGCTCAGGTGGGGGTCACTCCTAGCTCCTGTAGGGGCACTGGTGCTGGGTGTCCCACCATACCTTTCACGTGCAAAGCAAGTACCTGCCCTTGGTGCCAGCCTTTTGCTCCAGCCCTTCTCTGCTGCTGCCAGTTATCTTTTGTGAAACCTTTGCTAATTCGTTAGCCTTCCGAGCTGGGAGGTTTCAATACAAATTTTGCACTGGAGAACATTTTCCCAGTTGGTCTCCCCTTTGTCAGTGTTCTCACTTAACTCTGGTCTGCGGCCGAGCATGGAGTAGCTAGTCCAGTTACAGCTTGTGCCAGCAGTGTGAGGTGTGTGGTCCCAATTCTTCAGGAGTTGATACTCGGAGGTTTGTGTTAGGGTTGCAATCCAAGTGTGGTATGGTAGAGGCTCAGGCAGGTTTATGATTAGCTTTGTATTAAAGCGGCAGGAGTGATTTTACAGCCCGTCCTCTGAACTCATTTTCCGAGAACAAAATAGGTGGTAATAAAGATACCATTAATAAGGAAATTCCTACACTCGTCCGTGAGCCAGTTGTAGAACACTCAAGTGGTAGAAAACTTATGGCGAACCCAAATTTTGCAGGTAAGGGTTTTAAAAGTGCCATCTATTTTATTAAGTTTATAAAGAAAGGACTTTTTAAAAAAAAAATCAATATCTTAGGAAATAACTCAATAATTTGAACATATTTAGAACATTATTCGATATGCCAGACACAGTAACAACAAAGTCTCCAATGGAGACGTTACTGGCCCTGCTCGAGCAAATCGATGATCAACGGGAGGGCCTTTACTTTACTTACTTTATTTAGAACATTGAACAAGTATAGCATTGTGAAGAATTCCTTTAGTTTTGTTTTTTCCCGATACTTGTATGAGCTGTTACCTGTCATTGGAAAGATTGATTTATTGGAGTATTAAATTGGGAGCTTGGAGAGGAAGGAAAAAAGGAATTTAATGAGTTCTTACTGCATGCTTAAGTTATTTCTTTTAATCCTCATAATATCCCTGCAAGACAAGTATTATCCTTCATTTAAAGATGAAGGAACAGATTCAGTGGTTAAGAAACTTACCCAACCACTCAGTTGGTAATTAGGGGAGCCTGAACTTTAATCTTGGGATTTGCCTCTCTTCTCTCACTCACATGTATTGGTTCTGCTGTGTTTTCTAGCTGTGTGGTGCTTTTGCAGAACATGTCACCCATGGTTATAGTTTCTCTGTAGGTAAAGTAAGTTGATCGGGGAGTTACTGAGTATAAGCCTTCTTTTAAGTATTCTGTTATTCTGACTGGGTAGACAGAAGTAAAACTTGTTTTGGATAATAAAATCAGGGGTCTTGTTAGGCATTCATAGCTAATCTCTTAAATAATGCTTTCGCAACCCAATTTGAAGCCAGGCTGTAAGATTTCAGGTTGTTGTCATAGTTTCTTTGATCTGATGCTGAGGGTTTGAGATTGTCAGAAAAGCGTTAGCACTATAGCACTGTCCTCCCATTGTTCATTGATTTGCTCGAGTGCGCCCAGTAACGTCTCCATCGTGAGACTTGTTACTGTGTTTGGCATATCGAATACCTCATGGGTAGATGCCAGGCTTTGCCATGCCGGTGAGATACTCTCGGTTGCTTGCCAGGCTCTCTGAGAGGGGTGGAGGAATCGAACTGGAGTTTGCCAGGTCATCCTCGTGCAAGCCCTACCAGCTGTGCTGTCGGGAGTTAAGTTTTAAAAAAATTTTTGGGAGGGTGGGTGGAGGGCTTGGAACATACCCAGTAGTTATCAGGGCTTACTCCTGACTGTGCTCTTGGATCACTCCTGGAAGTGCTCAGGGAACCAATTGGAATACTGAGGATCAAACCTGGGTGGGCTGTATGCAAAGAAGCACCTACCTGCTGTACTATTGCACCAGGCCCAAGTTCTTTTCAAGTGTGGGAGGTTACATGTGCCTGGTTATTTGTTAATCTTCGATATAGGTTTCTCTACAGGTTGTTGAATGTGTACTCAGAGTGAAGTGTTCATTGGTGGTATAGAAGCATATCCTTTATAGTAGTTTTTCAGTTGGCTCATAAAATTAGTTTTGTCCGTCAGAAACACATTTTTTTTTCCCAAAAAGAAACTAAGCTGGAGAGATAGTACAGCGGGGAGGTGCTTGCCTTGAGTGTGCCCTCCCTGGCTTCCATGCTGGAGTATCCCATATGGTCTTCTGAGCACAGCCAGGAGTAGTTCCTGGATGCAGAGCCTGGAGTAACCCCTGAGCATCACTGGGTGTTGTCCCCAAACAAAAACTTAAAAGGAAAGGGAAATACTTCCTATATCACAGATGAGAGGGAAATAAGGTTTGCTGAAACTTGTGGTGCACGTGGCTTACATTGTATTTCATACTGAAGGTAGCTGTGGTTAGAAATGTGTGCAAAATCCCTTTAGCATAGCATTTCTCAGCTGCAGCACTCAGGGCATTTTGGGACAGACGGTTCTTTGTTGTGGGGGCTATTCCAGCACTGTAGAATGTTTATTCCAATCCCTGG